TGCTTGATATTTCTTATGTTTCTTGAGGATTTGATCAAATATTGATTGATTTTCTTTTGGTTTCAGATGTTTTTTGTCTTCCGCAAAGCACTCCCAGTTTTCGAAAAGCTGTCTCATTTATCGATGAACCTTGCTTCTAACATATCTTGGTTTACCCTGGAAGTTATGGTAAAGAAATCTCCAAATCTAAAGACTCTCACCATCGAGGTAAGACACAAAACCCAAAATTTCATTGGATACTCATAAATCTTGAATCTCTAATCCGTCCCATCTTGTTTCAGGGTGCCACAAACTATGAAAATCTTTGCCGCAACGCGTCGGAGTATTCTTTCCTATTGCCATGTCCTTTAGAGGTCCTAAAGATAACCACGTACTATGGTACTCGAGGAGAATTAACACAAATGAAGTATATCCTTGGGAAATTGTCATGTCTTGAACTCGTGGAAGTTCATTTTCGATTAACAGGTAAAAAAAAGGCAAAGTCGACTCTGCAAAAGCTACCTAGAGCTTCGTCCAAGTGCAAATTCCAGGTAGTTGCTGTGTAGATTTGCTTATGTCCTTTGAAGTTGGAAACATGAACCTATTTTGTGTAACCAAGATTGTTCATGAATTAGGATATTATCTACTTGATGATGCGTATGAGAACATCTTTGTTGTTTTTGTAATGTCTAATAACTGGCCTCAAAATGATACTCCTATATATTTTTTATAAGACAAAGACAAAAAGAAATAGGCTTATTTGGGAAAGCCCAATTCTACTACTCAAGCGTTTTGCTGCTTCGAAAACCGTTGTCGTATCCTCAAATTTGACTTTGGTTCGATTCGAGTAAATCGGTTTGGTCTTATTATGTTTATAAACCGGTCCAAAACAAAGTAATTAAAGCCAATCCCGAGCCCATACGTGACACGTTTACATTGGATGAATCTAGATATCACGATGTGGTCACTGGTTATATAGGGTTTTCTTCATTAGAGAACCTGAGTTTGTTTTTTTTCTAGGGTTTTGCAAAAAAAAGCATGGATCGACTCAGCAATCTACCCGATGAGATTATTTGTCACATAGGGTCGTTCCTATCAGCGAAGGAGGTTGCTTTCACAACGGTTCTATCGAAGAGATGGCAAAATCTGATTACCATCGTACAAGTTCTTCGCTTTGATGACTCGATTGAGAGTTTTAAGGATTTTGCGGACCGCTTATCGTCTCTACCAGCGACTTCCCGTGTAAGGAAGTTGTATCTAAAGTGGTGGTCTCTTGAGTCTGCCGGAATCAACAATTGTTTACGTGACGTGCTCAAGCGTGGTGTGTTTTATCTCAATCTATCGATAAACGGCAAACAAGGATATTCACTTCCTTTTGAAGTTTTCACTTGCAAGACAGTTGTTAAACTTTCACTAGGGTTTCGTTTTTCTATTGATATGATCCCTGAGAATGCTCTTCTTCCATCTCTCAAGACTCTCTCTCTTAATGACCTTAAGTTCTTTGAGTTTGGTGGGAATTGTGCGTTTCAAACGCTTCTTGCTGCGTGTCCTGTGCTTGAGGAATTATTCTTGAGTGATGTGAACTGGGAACAGTGGAAATGGTCTCGCACTGTGTCTAGTTTGAGTCTTAAGAGACTAACAATTATACGTACAAAGTGGGATGATTATGATAACTCTGCTTTTAAGAGAATTAGTTTCGATACTCCGGGTCTCGTTTACTTATATTACTCTGATTATGTTCCAAAAGAGTATCGCAATGTTAATCTCAATTCCCTCGTTGAAGCTAAGATCCATCTTTATCCGCCAAATATATGGAATCCTGATTATCTCTATCCAATGAATCTGCTTCAAGGGTTTAAAAATGTTGAGATTCTCAACTTGCATTCTTATCAAACTTTAATGGTATATGTTGAAACTTTATTGTTGTTCATTGTTTCCTTTCTCTTTAATATAAATCAAAATTCTTGCTTGATATTTTCTTATGGTTCTTGAGGTTTTGATTGATATATGGACTATATTTTTTTATGGTTTCAGATGTTTTATGTGTTGCGTGAAGCACTCCCAGTGTTTGAGAAGCTGTCTCATTTATCAGTTAACCTTTCTCGCTACTGTTGGTTTCCCATCAAAGTTTTGGTAAAGAAATTATCTCCAAATCTAAAGACTCTCACAATCAACGTAAGACGAAAACCTTCATTGCATACTGATATACAAATCTTAAATCTCTAATCTTTTTCCTTCTTGTGTCAGGGTTCCTTGCACTTTAGGAAATTTAATTCTCTTTGTCACTGCGTGTCAGAGTATTCTTTCCTAGTCTCGTGTCCTTTAGAGGTTCTAAAGATAACCGAGTACTCTGGGAATCCAGAAGAATTGAGACAAATGGAGTATATCCTTGGAAAATTGTCATGTCTTGAGCTCGTGCAAGTTCATTTTCCGATGGCAACAGGTGGGAAAAAGGCGAAACTCGAGTCGGATCTGCAAAGGCTACCTAGAGCTTCGTCCAAGTGCAAGTTCAACGTTGTTGTGTAGATTTCCTTAACTTGAATCTATTTTGTGTAAACTTGAATCTATTTTGGAAGTTGGAAACTTGAATCTAATTCATGAGTCG